AAAAAAAAAAAAAAAAGAAGAAGAAGAAGCCTGTGGATGCCTGTTGGAACCCAGTGACTGCGTTTCGCCCCACCAGTTAGACCAGTGACTCTTGGCCACACAGCCTGTAGAAAGGGAGGGGGGGGGCGGCCCAGAGGAGAGGGACAAGAGATGGGTAAAAGCAAGTGGAGGGAGGTAAGGTGGGGAGGGACACAGGAGATGCCATCACCAAGCTGCCCAGTCTTGGCTGCCTCGAAATCTTGCACCAGTCATAGCCCCCTCTTTGTCTTTGTTTTTTTATCTATTTGTTTGTTTGTTCCAAGTCTTTATTTCAATTCTAGTCAGTTAACATAGGCTTTGTCTTTTGGTAAAAGTGGAGAGCAGAGCGTCCTTGTAGCTCAATGGTGGCCCGAGGAGGGTTTTTGATGACCTATGTTTTCAGCACCTTGGCCCCGATACAGAAGGTGATCCGCTGAGCCTGAGAATAACCCTCTCTCTGTTCTTCAGACCCAGATACTTTTGAACCCCAAAAATTCTTCCAGACATCGGGCCTCTCCAAGATGTCGGCCAGTCAGGTGAAGGATGTTTTTCGGTTCATAGACAATGACCAGAGTGGGTATCTGGATGAAGAAGAGCTTAAGTAAGTTTTGTCCTAAAGAGAGAGAGAGAGAGAGAGAGAGAGAGAGTGGTGTGTGTGTGTGTGTGTGTGTGTGTGTGTGTGTGTGCAGGGGAGGGGCAGAGAAAGAGGGAGGGAGAGAGAACCCCAAGCGAGCTCCATACAGTCAACACACAACCCAACGAGGGGCTCGAACTCATGAACCCATGAAACTGTGACCTGAGCCGAAATCAAGAGTCAGATGCTTAACCGACTGAGCCCCCCAGGCGCCCCTGGAAAGAAGAAGAAGAAGAAAGAAAAACTTTTAAAAACAAAATGCCCACTGTTAGTTTCTACAAGGAAGGCGAGTTTGGCTTGCAGAGACTTTTGAATATCGCAGTTGCTGGGAACGGATGATTGGCTTCAAGAGGAAAAGAGAGGGTTAGCACAGACGTGTGTGGTCTTTCAGAAAAGTTCCATAATCTTTATTGCCCTGCAGGTTTTTCCTCCAGAAGTTTGAGAGCAGCGCTAGAGAGCTGACAGAGTCAGAAACCAAGTCCTTGATGGCGGCTGCGGATAATGACGGTGACGGGAAAATCGGGGCTGACGGTACGTTCACACCTGTACACGGCACAAAAGAACTTAGCTCCTGAAGCAACCCGGGGGGTTGGGCCATGGGATCGGGCAGATGTGGTTAGTTAAAATCTCTCTTTCTTAACCTTGCTGCACTTCAGTCTTGTCATCTGTAAAATGGGCCTAATGTGAGGATACAAATGATATATGTAGAGACTAGCGTGATGCCTGGGGATGTATCGTAGAAGCTGGTCCTGTGAGTCACTCACTGTCTATGACCCAATAAATAGCCTTCACTTGACCAGGGGACTAGCTATTGCCTGGCTAATGATTTGCAAGATGCCCAATGCAAATTGGAAATAATATAAGGAATTGCCACTGCTGGGATTTGAGCCCCTCTGAATAAGGGAAGGATTGACATTCTCAAGTGTGTCTCATGTCAAAATGTCTATTTTTTTAATGTTTATTTAGTTTTAATGTTTAGTCATTACTAAGAGACAGAGAAAGAGCATGAACACGGGAGGGGCAGAGGGGGAGACACAGAATCCGAAACAGGCTCCAGGCTCCGAGCTGTCAGCACAGAGCCTGACGCGGGGCTCAGACTCACCAACCGCGAGATCATGACCTGAGCTGACGTCAGACGCTTAACCGACTGAGCCACCCAGGCGCCCCCAAAATGTCTATTGACTTGCACAGGAAAGCCTCTTAGCTTTCAGAGGGTTAAACAAACACATTTTCTTGGACAGTAGCCCAAGTGGACAATATTAGAGAATAGATCAAACGTCATGTACAGGGTCTTCTGTGTGCAGAGCCCTATATTCAGAGTTTAGTATAACTACATGGCTGGAGGATTATTTTAATCCGATTCAGTCATGTTGCTTACACGCTTCTTAGCTACATTGTGCATGCCAACTCGGGAGAATTTATGCCTGGTCTTTATGGCGGTACTAATTGGAAATTAAAAACTGCTACTTTGGATTCTCATTTTAAAAACCTGTCCAAATGATACCACTATAACTTACTATGCAGGAGTTAATGTAGCTTCTATAGATAGTTCAGCACAAGAGTTTAGGTAAAAGAAGATGGATTTATTTAAATGTAACCACGGAAAAATTCCAAATAGGCGAAGCGTACCAAGAACTATAAAGCAAATCTCCGGTTTTCGACTCCAACCAGTAGCAGCGACTCATCATTATTGTTACCATCATCATTGTCGTCTTTCTTTTAGTAACCTAAGCTCTTGAGGGTAAGGTTCGGGTTCAACAGAGAAAACGGAGAAAAGGGAGTTCAAAGGCCCACTCTATGAATTGCTTCCTACGTCTGCAGAAAGGAGGAAGAAAAGGAAGAAAACCCTCCTTCTCTATCTTAAAGTAGCCAGACAGAAAGTTGAACGGCCCTAGATTGCGACAGGCCATTATACCAAATCCATGCGTCGTCAGAGAGAAATGGCTGGGCTGACAAATTCTT